ATTTTACATAAATTGTTTTTATTACTCTTAAAGTGAAATTCAGTATTTGACATGTTTTTCACTACAGGATTTTTATTAATGAAGCCTGGAGAACTACTTTTTCTAAGGAAAACACAGTATATTTCAAAGGAATTAAGAAAACACTGAGGGAAAATTTACAATGTTGAAACTAGCACAGACATGCTATGCACTGAAGCTGAAAAGCTTCCCACAAATTCATGATGGCACGTCTGGCATGTAGGATAAACATACCATTCCTTCACCAGTATATGGTGTAAATTTTTGGTTTACACACAGAATTAAACAATTTGTCAGTCGGAGTGGGAGACCACAGGTCTAGAGGATTCACAGAAAATCTAGAGACAATAGAGGAAACACTATCTTAAAGCCAAGCACATGGAAGACCTGTGATTAATGTGAAGCCAGACTAATGAATCTTTAGCAGATGCAGTTATTTTAATGAGCAGTACAATTAAACTGAAGTAACAAAAGACATGGAGTACTGAAACCTAAGCTAAAGACAGTAATAAAAAGGATCTGTATTTGTAGAAACACAAGTAGAAAAAGCAGTAAGAACAAGTTCTTAACATAAAGCAGAAACAGTAATTACTGAAACACTGGGAAGTATTTCTCAGGGATGTAAAACAAATTTTCTTTCTTGCTAAGGATAAATCTGCATGATACCACCTCACAATGAGCAAAAAATAAATTCAGCAATTAGACCTGTCAATAGAGGTGTGTCAGCACACACATATCCACGCACACTGAAAATCATGAAAATCAGACATCTTGACAGTACAAACTTGACAGGATTTTTAAAGTTTCCAGTGTGCTGCCACTGAATATCTTTTTTTTTTTTTTCCCCCTGAAAAATCAGTAAGAAAGAGACTTTTAAAACAGGTAATTTACAAGAGGGAGCATGCTGCAGAGACTCCCCTTTCCAAGGTATGTTCCCCAGGGTGAACTGCCTCTGCCAGCCCCTCTCCCAAACCTGGCGTTCAGTTCTCTGCTTGTGCGGGCTGTCCACACCCAGGGAGCTGCCCTCAGCATGGCTTTTTCATTCAGAGGTGGGTGCAAGGACATGCCTGTGTGTCTGCTCTACCAGTGAGTCCCTCTCTCCCTCCCTCTGACAGGTCCTGTTGGAGAGGAGGTCGTTCCCAAGGTGCACAGTGAAACCAGAGAACTTTCTTTTAGGGATGCAATTAAGAAGCACGTTCAGGACTAGTCAGAATAATTATATTTACAGAGAACTGCAAAAATCCCATACTCTTAAACCCATCTCTGGAAAGTCTAGGCCAAAAAGTGGAATGCTTTTTTCTAAGAAAGCTACTTCTGAGAAGGCTCTTGGCTAACTTCTGTATGTGAGAAAAGTAAAAATCCCTTGGGTAGTAAGCCTGAGGCACAGACCACAGCCTGAAGCTCAAAGCAGCAAAACAGGCCAGTGCACACATAGCTGCAGGAGGAGTTTGCAGACAGGCAGCCATGTGCTCTCCCACGTGAATAGCAACCAAGGTCCACCACTCCAGAGCCATCCTGCAAATAGGTGTTTTGAAGAAAGACGGTTGCCTGCTATTACCTCCAACCAAGTCCTTTAATCTGCTTCGCATATTATTATTTTCAAAATTTACCTATTTCCCTTATAATTGGTTCTGCTAACAGAAAACACATCGGAGGGAAAATCTGTAGAAGTTTAACAAATTTTCAAACAGCCACAATTCAACCAGGTAGGCAGCTTAAACTGAGGAGGGATGTACACCATTAGGCACAAAACCAGCTCAGTGCCTGGTTTTTGTTGTGATCTGAGTAGTTATTATCACTGTTATGCCCAGCTACTGAGAAATTTCTTATTCTGTTCTATTTCTAACAGGCATAATGTTATTATGAGTTATCTCTCCAGAAGTTCCTGGAGGCATTACAAAAGATCTTGTAACAGAAGGCATTGTAGGGACATGTAGGAAGACACAATCTCTTCCCTAGGGAAAAATTGCAAGAGATGTGAAACAAAGTAAGAGTTAACAGAGAAGCCCTAACCCTGGCTGGGTTCCCCCTTATTGCAGTGAGGTTCCGTTCTCTATTGGTAAATGCAGCACAAGGAGAAATTACTTAATCACTTATTCATGTCCTTATTCTACCGACGAGACAAATACAAGATTACAGTCTTATCTCTTTCACAATTTACATGTCAAGGTGCATGCTTGATCAATGAAAATATGCTATTTCCCATTACCTAGGATTCCCAGAAAGCAACATGACTATCACGTAAAGAGAAAGAAAAGACCTAAGGTCTTACATAATTTATTTTTGACTAAATTAGAGACCTCTTATGCTAGTTATTTCTTTGTCTTGTGCTAACAGAAGAAACTAAAACACTAGAGGAGATAAAGCCTAAGTCCAAGTGTTATCAGTTGCCCATCTGTTGCACCACTAGATTGTATTTATGAAATATATTTGTAAATATCTTAAATATATTCTGGCTAAAAGCATATAGTCACTATTTTTTAAAATGATGCATAGTCAAGAGAAATTAAAAAATCCTTTTACATTCAGAATCTGAATTCAGAACCAGGCATTTGTTAACCAGAAACCATTGAAAATCTTATCCTCTACCTTTAATGATAGGTCTAATATTTTTCAGTTTCCTTCATTAAAACATCATGCTTTCCTGATGAAACTGATATTTAAAAAAAAAACAACACTTCACTAGAAAATGCTCAGAGCAATTTCCAAGAAGGAAGGAATGACAGAGAACACCTGAACATATGAAAAAAAAATTCTTATTGTGGCTGTTGCACCTACTTGAGACTCCAGGTTATCAGAAGATTTACATATCAGCACAGCTAAGCACACATTTTTGGTGGCACAGCTTGTCCAACAAGCACTGAGCTGCGCACTTCAGTGCTCCACGAAAATCATACAGGAGGACAGAAATGGCCAAAGTCAGTTCACATGTACACTACTGAAGTAAACTAAATCATACCAGAGACAAATTTGTACCATTTCTAAACCTTTTTTTTTTTTTCTGTCTGTAAAAATGAGATGTGTAGATTTGTGTGAAAACTGTGTTACAGAATGAATCCAGAATCAACATCTACAAAAGTATTTAACTAACACAGACAGTTTGATCAGGCCAAATAGTTCATCCATCCTCCCCTTTGTGAAATTCAGTCTTTGTTTGCATCGCTAATATCTTCCCAAGTAACCATAAGCCCCATCCTTTGTGTGTTAGTAGGTTTTAGGAAATGTTTAATCAGTTTTCAAGAGCGCAGATACAATTCCACAGCAACCCTCTATGTGTCATCTAAAAAAGTCATTTATATGAAAATACAAACTGTGCTCCTGAAAAGAAAGGTTAAGGAAGTGTTCCTTCATAATTCTACTCTCTTTCTGTATTAGTTTTTCTCTCTCTAAACATTTTTTAAGCAGTAACATGAAATTTTCTTGCTTTTTGAAGGTGGAAAATCACTGAGGATTCTATTGTAATTGTCAATTTTATTTTTAAAAAGTCCTTCTTTGAAAATAGTATTTCTAAAATTTTAATATTCTTTATACATTGTAAAAATAAAAAATATAAAACTATTCTGAAGAATTAGTCAGTGTATTTCTGAGCTAAAATCTTGTTTTAGCTTCAACCAATCACAATTTTTTAAAATCTGAGCAACTATGTGTGCAGTCAGGCAAAATATTCAGAAAATAAATTTCAGAGAACTCTGTAGCAGAACAGCATGTGTCTACACCTTCCACCAAATTTAACATGGAAAGCTTGATTTTAATCGTACCATTTTAAAGGTCTCTCACTCGAAAGTAGAAAATTAGGAATCTTGACATATACACCATAATACAAGCAAATTCTGCTTTTCATAAAGACCTGTGAAAGTAGTGGTCATAAATTTCAAATGTGATTAAACATTACGTACATGAAAGCAGAGATTTGGGCCTTGCAATCGTTCATTCTGATAAGTGCAGAAACCTCCAGTATTTCAGAATTGTTATAGGTATTTATCAGACTCACACTGGAGTTCACAAGTTGTCTGAGTTAATTTAAAATTTCAGTCTTACCAAAAGCACTGGAGAAATATGACTGACAATAATAAAAAAAGTGGAATAGAATTCTATACTTAAAGCATTTATGGGTTTAAAGAAAAATAAAACTGAAAGCCGGAACTACCTCACTGTGCTTATCTTAACCATTTTAGAACAGTAAGAAGTTATTCTTTTATGAGGTCTTCAGTACATTGCTCTTGGGAAGAAATCTGAGCACTATCTCTCGCTCAGCATTCCTAAGCTTTCAATTTCAAACTGAAAGAAAAGTTTGAAAATGTGTTATATGAAAACATGTTTACGCATGTGGATTTTAAAATCACCTAGGATCCTGCTGAGTCTTGTGTCAATGTTTACCCATACATTTTCCCTAATTTGTAAATAAACTACAATATTCATCTCTTTTTTCATGATATTTGGCTTTTACATGGCTGAAGATTACTGTGTCTTTGCTTATGTGATGTAACGTAGCATAACGCCACAGTGGTCATTGCAAGAGAGGTGACTGGAATCAAGTAAGAACCTGGCCCTTTATTTGAACAAACATCACCATTTAATTATGTTTTAATCTAAAATAAGTATCTGTTAAAAACAATTCATTCAATTCTTATATAAATGTAGAAACTTGATGTAACATGGTTTTAGAAAACTTTCCTTAGTCTTTGCTAGAAATATTTACAAATAATTTTCCATGTCATTTTCTTAAAGGAGAGAGGACAAAGGAGAAGAGAAAAGAACAGACAGAAGGGTCTCTGTCCTTGTGCATGCAGTTGTCAGGGCAAACCTGGATGAGGTCCTGGGCACACATACACATACGCTTGACACATGTTTGTGAAGACAGACAAGAGGTCTTACTTTTCCTTCCAGTAAGTAAAGAAAAAAAATTTTCAAAGTGCAAGAATTGATTTGAAGTGTAATTATTATCTGACTTCCTCTAAATTTGGTCAGTCTGAATCACTCACCTTTGTCACATGATGCTTTTCATGTTGTATGGGAATCTTAAACATTTGGCACCAGTATGTTGTATCCTTGTCTGGTACAGGCACCTGTCTTAATAAAAAGGGCAAGAACACAATATTATCATAGAATCACAGAATGGTTTGGCTTGGAAGGGATCTTAGAGAACATCCATCCTGCCCTATGTCAATCCCCTCACCATGGGCAGGAACACCTTCCACTAGACCATGTTGGTCAAAGCGCCATCCAGCCCGACCTCGAACAGTTGCAGGGATGAGACATGCACAGCTTCTTTAAGCAACCTGTTACACTGCCTCATCAACTTCATGGTGAAGAATTCCTTCCTTATATTTAATCTATATATAGGAGTCACACTACCTGTTGTGTTAAGCCCAAAGCTTTGGCTACCACTTTATTCCCATCTCCACATAAACCCAAAACATGGAGTAACTTACGTCTTTGTTTGTCAAGTCAAAGTATGGCAGAGAGGCAGATAAGACTTCTTCTTTCTCAGGATTTAGCAAACGTAGGCTCTTTGTTCCACGATTAGATCCATGGTAATTTTGACCTGCTTCTCCCATGTCTTGGTGGTGGTAAGCCCAGATTACCCGCACTGTGCTCTCCTGAAAAAAACAAAACAAAACAAAAAGCCCATAAGGAGGAGAAGCAACATCTTCCTTACATAGTTCACATAATTCCTACAGTTGCCATGACATAGATGTAGCTGTATTTGAACAATGACAATGTATACCAGAGCAGCAGCCATCCACTTACACAATTTTGCCTTTAAAATTAATAATGTATAAGGTTCGCTGGAGATACGCAGAAGTCTTTCTCTGAGAGATTACTACCCTAATGTTGTGAATTGAAATCATATCTGCAAATGGCAGAACAGACTCTTAAAGAGGTATCCAACTAAATGCATGGTATTTTTCTAGAGATGTTACTTATTTGGCCATCAATGAGGTTCCCCACCAATTTTTTTCCAGGCTCAGATCTGTGAAGATGTGAATACCTTCAGTTGCATGCTGTCCTTACACACTAGGGAAGATAGACATTCAATTACAGGACAGATTTGCATCTTAAAAATCAATCTACAGCCACTGCACAGATTAGTTCTCTGTAAACTATTCTCAGGTTGCAGTAATCACTCTTGAGTCAAAGTGCTCTAATAAATCCTGAAGTGTCCCAGAATGTTAAATTATGCTCAGAATTTGGAGCAGGTGTGAAAAACAGAGATCCATTGACTGCCTGGAAAACTGGTGGTTTATACAGCTGTGGTTTGCTTCCTTTGCTTCCTGCATCTTTCAGCCTCTCATGTTGCTATTATTGCATATGTTATGAAAACATAGATAATGAAAATAGTGTTTTACTCTTACATTACAGCTTCCAAAATAAGTAGTAAATAAGTCAAAGCATAGAAAGCCTTGCAAATTTGTCTAACCTATCTGTCATTTCCAATACAGAAGTCATCAATTTCATGTAATTTAAAATTATGCTTAGGAAATAGCACAGCAGTCCCTAGGGCAACACAAGAATTTACCATGAAAAGTCTTTTACCATGGAAAGTTTTACCATACAATTCTTCAACTTAATTTTGAATAAAGAAATAAATAGATACTTTAAATATATCCACTCAATACTTTTAAAAAATCTATTTCTATAATCAATTGCAAGTTAGTGTAATATCTGAAAAGTGTTTCTTAATTTGTCATTTCTTGAATGATTGCAACTGTGGCATGTAGGACTTGATGGCCCAGAGATACCTGTTTCAATCCCCTGTACTCTTGTTAGAAATTAAAGAACATAACATTTTAAAGTAGAAGGACAAAGAAAGATGAAATGAAAATATAAGAGCTTAATAAAACTAGAGCAAGTATTTTACTTAGTTAATTTAAGTTGAGCAAACAGATATTTTGGAAAGTGAATTTCTCTAATTCTGTCTTTTTACTAAAAAAGAGATTTTAATAACCAGCTTGATAACTACATATACAATTACTTCATATTATATTATACTACTATTATATTACTATATTAATTACTTCATCTGCCTACGTGCAGTCAGAGTCTCTTACCGTTATGCTCTTGTCGTTTGTGTCACAAGTGTGCAGATCTCTGCTAAAAGCCAATATTGTATGTGTACTGTTTTCCATGGCATATTCCAGATGGTAATCCTGTTGAGGGTCCTTTTTTAGTACTCTGTTTTCATCTGTAAAATAATCCTGTTATAAAGAAAATGTGACCCATTATTATTAAAATCTAATACTAAAAATGAAACTCTATGTCCAGGACCAAAGCCCCTTGAAACATGTAAAGTTCCGAAGTAACAGTTTTGAAGCAAATGATAAATGTGAGGTGGCATCGAACTATTTTTTCATACAAAATCTCCAAGAAAGCAAGTCTCATTGATAAGGAGCTTAAAACATGTCCTGAGTAACTTTAGCAACATGTTGCCTGTACATAACTGCAGAAATAAAGGTTGGGATGTCATGAACTTCAGGAGAAATTAAAGAGAGAACTAATTTGACTTAATATTTGTAAGTTGTTCCCTCCTTTCACAACTTTTCCTATGTTTTTTATTTCCCCACAAAAAGAAACTTTGATTGAACATCAACTGTAACCAGAAACCTTATGGCTTAACTAGGATGGAAAGTGCTCAGTTCATTCAAAAGCTGATGGGCTGGGATTAGATTGAGGTTTTGGAAGAGGTGAGGGAACTGTTTGTAAGAAAGATGCTCTCCATCAAGGGTTCAGCAAAGGCCTGGTACAATGGAGTAGCAGGGCAGCAATGTCAGGTCATTAACCTCCTCACCCTAAATTCCTGCAACTCAGTGCAGCTGGGACCCAGCCCTCCCTCTCCTCCTACCCCAGCCACCTGGAAAGGGTTGGCCACTGCCTCAGATGCACCTTCTCTGGTTGCCCTCCTTTGAGTTCCAAGCTGTTTCTGCCTGGGTTGGGGTAGGAAAGAGGGCTTTTAACTAACCAATATATTTCTCACACCAAACAGGCAGACACCATTAATTGTGTGGTGTCCCTTGCAAAGTAATGCAGCACTGGCTGATTCTGCCAGGCATTTACTTTTGTAGCTGCTTGGACCTCTGTTCACTTCTGGAGAGATTTCTAGCTTTCCCCTTTTGTTTAAGTTGAGATAACAAAGCTGGAAAATTGCAAAATGTTATATCCAAGCATTTTGATACTAACAAAAAATAACTGGAACCTTACTGATTCACTAAGGGATCATTTAGGAGCTTTAATCTTAAACTTAATCCCACCCTGGAAATCTCTGTGTATGCAAGAGACCACAGAGTCCTTCTTTTCCTATCACCACTTCTTACAAATACAAATGAGTGAGTACATATGTCAAAGAATAGACACATGGAAAAATAATCACCAAAAAGAACAAAAGAAGGGCCTCAGACCTGAAAGTAAGGGAGCTGATGAGTTGTGTTTGTTTAGAGAAATAATTTTGGATTTGTGCTTTTCCAGATGGAAATAATAGACTTGTTCTGCGATGTTTCTTTGAAGATGGGTAATTAATGGGATCAAAACACTACACTTTAGCCCTGCATCAGAATTTGGAAAGAGGCAGTGCATGTCTATACACAATACCATTCCTGCTCTGAAAACACTCCTCTGTGGAATCTCTGCTTATGCTTAAAAATAGTAAGGGCTTGTCTGGACGAGAAATGTAACCTTGTGAACATCAGCTTTTATTGAAGTGTGATATCTTTGCTAAAATGTTACCTTAAATTGGAGGAAGGCACTCAGAAAAAGCACCTACCCATTGAAATATTGAGGAATACAAATTCGAGAACAGCTCTTTCTCATGTGAACAAAGTCAAAGTCTTTGCCTGAAACCTGTGTGAAGGAAAGCTGAGAAATGTGAAGCAAAGCTAGGTGTCCATATTCAAGTATTTTGTTGGTGAACTTCACCATTTCTTCACAAGTCTAGAAGACACAGCTGTAACCAGAAAAAACCCTCCTGTGATATAATCCTGAATTCTATAAGCCTCAAGGGAGAACATAAAAATAACTCAAAGAAGTTGTGTAATTAAAGTATTAGCTCAGATGTGCCTTGATAATGTGACTGTCACTGTAATTATTTCACTTACCTGCATGACAGTCAAAACCAGGTCACATCTCTGGCTCACCATGAGGGGCTCATTTTGTGGCTGCTGGTGAATGCTTTGGGGAAGGTGGTCCCAAAACCCAGGCCACAGGAAAGGACCAGGATCCTCCCCATGGGACGAGAGCTGTGTTGGGCACTCACATTGCTGCCTGCCCGGGCGCTCACTGCCCACCCCTGCAGCCCACAATAAACAGAACCTCACTGATTTCAGTGGCTCACCTGAAATTATTCTGTGGCTAGATGCTAATCTGACAAACTAACAATAATCTTTCTCACGCGAAAATTTCTGTGAAGTAATTAATTCCTTGTGTCTACTTACTTTCTCTGCCTCCTATGTTCAAACAGGTCTTGAATATCAGGGTGCTGAGAAGCAAATACTTGAGAAGCAAATTTATGTTGTGCCTAAGAAGACAGTGTCTGTTTATTCCCCAGTTCTTACAATTCTGCTGTGTGCAGTAGAAACACCCAAGAGGAATCAACTGCAAGTACCCTTGCCAGGAACTATTTAGGAGTCAGCAAACTGCTCCTATTACTATTTTTGCTTCCTTTGTCGAAAATTATCCAGATGTTCATCACAAAAATGAACCCAAATAATGTAATGAAAAAACCCTAAACAACTCAAGAGTTTAATTGCTCAACCTCTCACATGAAAATGGTTTGTTAACCAGCTTTAAAACAAAATAATGCCATATTGCCCAGGAACCATACATATCTCTTTCTGTTCACAGATATTTTAAGTCAAACTATGCAGACTTTGGTCAAAAAAGCATGTATCATATGTTTAATGAAGATGAAGTTTTCAAATTATAAATCACCTTTACGGAAGTACAAGAATTATAGAAAGGAAAGGGTGAAGAGACTATATTTTTTTAGTATGAATATCTTTGATTATTTAAAGAGTGTTTAAAACACAGTTTCAGAAGTGTAATTGTTCATACTAAATGATAACAAGGATGTTTATTTCCGAATTTGCTTATGTAAATTGTTTACATATCAAACATTTAAAGTTTTTATACTCCCTTTAATAATATTGCATAAAATGCTGTACTAAACTCTGGACTAAGTTGTACAACCCATCACATAATTGAGTATCTCCTTCCTCATATTACCTAGAAGTTGAAACAACATATGGAAAATGAAAAATCTTCCTGACAGTATAAGTTATTTTATGTTCCTTTCCAGATGTGAGGCCGATCATGTTATATGTTTTTCAAATCCCATTAGCCTCTCTCCTCCTTAAAAAAAATGTCTTGTGACATATATGGTTTCTGATTTCTGCTTCACAAACAGTTAGGGAGAGTAATTTCTTAAGGATGTGAAAAGAGGCTGGTTTCTCCTTCAAGAATGCAAGCACAGCTGCAGAGGGAAGGCTGACCCCAAAAGCCCTACCAGCTGTCATCACGGACTGAAACAGGTGTTTATGGAACTACCTCCCCAGATCTTTACAATGTACAAGATTGTTTTGTTTATGATATCCATTTCCTGTACTAAATTATATATATCTCCTTTCAACCTCAGGGAGCATAAAATAATTCTCAGACTGTGGCCCCATCCAACAATAGCCTTGTGGGCTTGGCTTGTGAGAAACTCTGCCACCCCAATTTATGCCTGCTGCCCTTCTCTAACTGGGAGATCGCTGCTGTTTTATCAGCAATTTAATTCCTAGAAGTTAAAAAAGTGACAAGTCAGGAATGGGAAATGACAGAAAAACAAGCTGTGTTGCAACTCATCCCCACTGATGTTCTGTAGCCAACCCATGGAGTTTTGAACATCTCCAAATTACCAAACTGATGTCTCTGATCAGGATCACTGACAAGTTTGACAAAAGGAAGCTGGAACAAAGATGAAAGCTGGTACAGGAGAGGATCTTGGTATAAATAGGGTGAATAGGTTACTGCAGTACAGAAAAGAACTTAATGAAACAGTTGTTTGAAATAAACACCAAGCTATGCCTTTCTGGGTTTCCAAAAAAATAACTGTGGTTAACATTTCTCTTTTTCATTGTTGTATTCAATTTAAATGGAATTCTGCTGCTCAAGGTTCCAGTACACACTAGATATTACCACCAAAAAGAAACTGCTTTTACACCGTATTTGGCAAGAAGCAAACAGAACATGAGTTTACCAATAAGCAAACCAAACTTTTTTGCAATCTCAAATAAATTTCAGCTTGAGTTTCAGGCAATGATCTTACTATGCTCTTATGTTAGGGAAAAGCAGAGCCCACACACAGAAACCTGACACAAAGCAGGAGCCTGAAAACATCACTGCTTAGTGCAAGAACACCTTGAGAGCATTCCAGTTGACTGAGCTGATCTTGGGATTAGACACAAATGAAAAAACAGCCATAGAAAAGGTAGAGCAACAGCAATCAAGCAGTTGCAGTAAGTTCCTAAAGTAACTGGGATAAGTAAGTTCAGACTAGGAAAAAAGTGATTCAGTCCTTGCTAGGAAGCCTGGATCTTGCTCATGTGGGCAGTTCTGAGAAGCTGCGCATAATTCCTGGTACAGCTCCAATTAAACTGACTGAAATACATTAGAGTAAATGTGGATTGTTTATTTCCTGTGCACTACTAACTTTGATAAGGACTGAAAATTTTTACCTCTAACAAATAACTGTAGGTGTGTCTGCATTTCAAATTCAGACATACACATATACACAGTGACACACATCTTCCACTTCTGCATTTACAGAAACAGATAATGCCCATGTATGTGCGTGGGTATGTACATGCATTTTCTTTATAAAAAGAGGGCTTGCATATTTTTACACATTAAACACAATCATTCATTTTAAAATATGCCTTTTCTCTTTCAAATTGTGTCACTTGAATACACTTCAGGGTATTTCTTATATCGAGTTAAATGCTGCCCAGGGTGGCTTCCCGGTAGCCTACAGCTGGCAGTGACACCCCTTTGTTTATGTGACATTCCTGAGAGATGAAAAATTGTCACTTGTGCTGCACACAAATGAAAACACTGGAGTGTGGAGACCTGTCTAACTTACCAAATGAAGGTGTAAAGAAGCACGAGCAGTTAGAGGTTGAAATACAACATTGCATATTGGCATGGATAATTTGACTTTGCAGTGGAGTCCCAAGGGCCTATCCTAGTCTTCACATCGAGAATGTTAGTTTAAGAGTTTATATTCCAGTTATATCAGAAGATACTAAACTAGATTAAAGGCTATCCTAACACAAATAGACTAGTCAAAACATGTATCAGAGTGTTTTAAGGGAAAGAAAATCAGTAAGTAGGAGATACTGCATGATACAATTTCACAACTGCACTTTATCGCAAGGAACATTCCTTACATAGGAGCCACATTTAACCAGTACAAGCTTTCTTGGTTTAATTACTTTAATTACTTCAATTATGAGGAAGATTAAAAACACTTAGGGGATTTTTAAGCACAACTGTTAGTGATACTTGTTCCCAAAATTTCTGTATGTACCTTAGAAAATCTCCCCTCTTCCCTCTCCTACTTTGGTGATCCTTGTTTATATTGGGAATCAAATCCTTCTCCCAATATTTTAAGCCTTTACATCACTCATGGTGGCCACAATTCCATATTTCTGGGGAGCTGTAGGAAAATTTCATTTTCTTGGTGTTTCCAAAATCCAAAAGAGAAGGAAAAAAAAAAAAAGATAAAAGAAAAAAACCCAACAAAACAAAACCAAACCACACACAGACACACAAAATAACACTTTGAAAAAAGTCCCCCCAAAGGCTGCAAACAGCTTCAGAATTTTCCCCATCTTTTGTTCACCAACTGCTTCTTCCTTGTCTTAACTATTGGATCTCTGAAAGCAAATTACAAAGCACCCAGCCAGTGGAGATGTACACTGGAGTGTCTCTTTATGCCCCACACTGAAGCCAAGAGAGAGACATTAGTCATCTGGAGATTTTGCCCCAATGCCCAAAGGCATGAAATACCTCCAACAAAACACCGACTGAGATATGTCAGTGTGGCACTTGCTTTGCATCTCTTGGTGCCTTTCAAGTTGTTTTCTAAACACTTCTTTTGTTGCTGTTGGCATGAGTGCACTTAAAAGCAGCATATCGTTAAGTACTGAAAATGCTCACTGTTTTCTGTCCTTTAAAATCTCTTCCAAGTGCTTCCCTGTGAGCAATTAAGCTAACTCTATGGGATACATTTGATAACAGATATTCTTTAGTTTGGGTGACAGTTAACAAGCAAGGCTCTAATGAATAATAAAGTACTTTTTAGTGACACACAGTCCCTATTCACCCTGAGTAGGGACTATTTTTGTGCAAGTTCAACAGAAGATTCTAACAATGCAACTCTCTTGTATAACTTGCACAAAATAGGCATTCATCAAGGAGGATTACTTTCTCCAAAATGGGGTTCTCAGCAGCTACGTGCTGTGGGTGGGGATGCACAATTCCAGACAGGGGTGGAGACCAAGGGAAAAGCATGGGTCTAGCCTGAAAATGCATGCTGTGTCAATTCATAAGCACAAAGAGATGCATTAAGGAAAAAAAAAAAAAAAAGAAAAGAAAAGAAAGAGAAAGAAATAAAAGGGAAAAAAAAGATGAAAGAAAACTAGATGCAAAAGCTAAGGCTGCCCCAAGAACTTGTAACTTGTACAAAGAGTAACACATGCGGCAAGTGACCATGGCAATATTTCAAGGTAATATTTTGCTAAGTATGAACTCTCCTAAGTCCACCTCCCTCCTATAGAGACAAAGACAGCTTTCCAATATCAACCCCCATTGGTATCTTGTTGTTCTCAAACACGCTCACCCAAACCTTACACAATCTGACACCACAGGGCTCTCAGTAATGTGTGAGAATAATTTGTTCACTGATCTCCTTCTTTTTCTTCTTCTGCTTGGTGGAGGTGCCTCTCTCATGACAACACACTAAAGTTATGCATGTATGCATACATATATCCATGCTATGTCCTCTAAATCCTCCCAAAATATGCTGAGGTTCCCATTTCAAATACCTTCTGAAATGTTATTATAGTAAATATATAATTCTCTGATCATTCAAATGCTCTTTAAAAAAACACTCTGGTACACCATGAAGGTTTGTTCTTCTTCTCTCATGACATTGTAACACTTTTCATCTTGATATAATTAAAGAAAACTAAACCTCAGATTTCCAAATAATTTTAGCCCTTCCTTATGTCAGGTTCACTTTCAAATTAAATACAGCTCAAACACAGAAAAGCAAACCAAAACAAATATCTCATTACATTCAAGTTCAGGATACACTTGAAAAATGAGAAAGTAAAACCTAATCTTGGATATCCAGGACTTTGAGACACTAGTTTTTTCAAGACAAACACTACCTACTGATGGTGGGAATAGAATTTACTTGCTCTATGAGGGCAAGGAAGAAATGCCAGAGGAAATGGCACTGTCTGTCTTCACTGAAAACTATCTGAAAGTTTTCCTCTGCCTCAATACCTAGATGTTCCACAGACTAAGGAGTATCTGCTTTTACCCTTACTGACAGCTGTAGTTTAACTACATTTACATGTTTGTTCCCAGAAGAGAACTCTTACCTCCGAGAACACTTTCTATTTTTAAAGAAGGAGAGAGAATTTAAGGGGGGGAAAGAGGCAAATTGACCCAAGAGACTAGCAATTTCAATGCCCACTTGAAAGGCTATAAAGGTGTTTCAGAACATCATCTGAATGTCAGGCCACTAACAAGCATCTCAAAACTTTCAAAGAAACCAAAAAATGACCCTTCTAAGAGTTTAGACCACGATGCACATTTTCCAACTGATGGTCATGGAATAAAAACGTATTTCTAAAACCAAAAGGAAAAGTAAGTTCATTCATTATAGGGTGTACATATTTCATGGAGTGCAGCTAGGCATAAAACCACATACTTTCAAGGGTGCTATCTATGAAAAAATCTTTTTCAGTAGTAAATAATGTAAATTATGATGACATACAATTAACATAGAATATATTTTTAAAATATCAACTGTATTTGTGTGTCCACTAAAGGGAAGAATTGGAGATTACTGAAATAACATCCTAGAACAAGTTATTTGTTTTATAGCAATCCCTGCTGCCTGACCAGAAAAGGCCTGTGGACAAATATGGGGGGGCCATGTTGGGGCCATTTTTGTTTCTGGCTTTTCCTTGTTGATGCAAGTATGGAAATATATGGAAATATTTTAACTGAGCAACTTTTTAAAAAACCTCAGTCCAGTTTAAAAGGAAACTGTGCTGCCTGGAACTGAAGAAGAAATGGGGATGGAGAAGGCCTTATGTTGCAAGCAAGCATAACAGGAGTGTTTCACAAAAGAAATACTTGAGTTGCACTCAAAAGTGCAGCAAAATAACTCACAGCATTTAGCATAGCAGTTTATGTGCTAAATTAGTGCTTCAGGAAAAATATCAGTAGTTTTGTATCAGCAGGCACTACAGTCCTTTTCTATTTGTCATGGAATGTCAGTGAATAAAATCTGTGGAAGAACGGAGTTTGTATGGGGTCATTCTTAAAGAATGACAAAAACCTGTGAAGGGCAGTGGAAAGAGCCATGAAAGTGCTTTGAGTGCTGGGGAAAATGTCCTGTGATGCTGAAGAGCTCAATCTATTTATTTTATGAAAAAAAAAAAAAAAAAAGAGCGGTGACTTGATTGTCTTGATTGCAGCATATAAATAACTTTATGGAGGTGGGATGCAGGGAGAGTACATTTTTAAATATAGCAGAGAAAATACACAGCTGAAACCTAAACCCGGACAAACTAATACTGGAAATCAGGAACAACACAGACTCATCATTGCCACAAACTATCAATGGAAGTGATGCATCCTCTGCCATTGGGTGTGCTTACACTAGTTTTGAACGTCTTTCTAAAAGGCTTGCTTTACTCTAACTGGATCTGTGAACTAACCAAGCAAGAAGTTTGGATTTCTTTTAATTGTTAATAGGTGTATCTTCTGAAGTGTAAAGCTAGAGAGAGCCTTACATTCTGTGAGCAGAGAGCTCACTGTTCACTGAGCAGAATAGCTTTTATTTTTATTACTATTAGTGTTTTATTTAGGCTCAGGTTTTCAGAAAAATTATCTTCATTTTGAAATGTGGAGAAAACAATATTCTGAAAATCACTGATCTGAACTTAGAGAAGACAAATATTTGCCTAGACTTCATATTGCAAACTAAGAGGGGAAAAAAGAGAAAGGTTCCCTTTTTCTGGAAAAGTATAGATTTTATAAAATCTTGACAAACAATAGGGAAAGCATATTATGCATTTATCTTTCTTATGGTAAAATGCTAATAGAAATCCATAATCTTAAAATAAAAGCTCCTAAAATTTAAGCAGCAGCTTCAAAAACCAAAAAGCTTTAACACAATGAAGTAAAGACAGACAGCTTCTCCTATACCATACTCTTAACAACTGAGTTCTAACAATTCTGTGCTTAAAATGCCTCTAAAGCTTTTATTTAAGCAACTGGGGGTGACAAGATGTCATTCCAGGCCTGATTCCCCTTTCACTCACCCATGGGATGAGCTATGCCTACCCCCTTGGCCCCAGAGCATCTCCTCCAGGCTGTTTCTCAGGTTGATGAGAGGGGATCAAATGTTTGGGTCGCTTCCTCTCTCACGGCTCCTACCCCACCAGCCACCAGTGCCCTTTGGAAGGGATGATTCATTGGAAGCACCAGAAGAGCCTCTGTTTCACAGTCCTATTCCCAAAGCGAGCCCTGACAACATCTAGACTACTACAGAAACATACCAAGCAAATTACGCCAATACAGCTGGGCCCTTCTGAGGTTGCTTTACCAGCCCGAGGACATGTATCAGGAGTCCCTGTGGTTACTCTGTAAGTTCTTTTCGACATCTGTGTCAAAACACCTCCAGGTGAGGAGAGGAGGAACAGCGGAGAAGGGAGCATCAGAGGCTGTGCCCTAGCAGACCGGGACGTCAGCAGGCTTGGAAGCTGGTGGGATCCTGCTCTCATGCCAGTAAGATTAGAAAGGCGAAGCTCAGGCGGCATCAGGACGGCCAAGCTCCGTCAGTTGTTGGCAGGATGAGGGGAAAGGTGGCGCACCCCCTTGGGAGAGACTGCCATCCCTCCCCTCTCCTCCGCCGGTCTAGGCTTAGGGGCAGGCAGGGAGAGCGCCCAAGGAGGGAGAAAAGGGTTGTTGCATTTTCTGGATAAAAAGGAAAGAAACCTGACACCTTTAAACAAAAACAATGTAGAAGTTTAGAGGGAAGGTTGGCTAGGAGAGGATCGAAAAGGAGTATCTCCTCCGGGGGAAATGAACGCCGAAAAAGAGGGGTGACCAAAAGGCTTCAGGGAAGAAGTAAAGAGGTACAAAGATGCGGGGCGAGGAAGCTGAGAAAGCAAACAGGGGCAGGGAAAGAGGGGCATCCCGAGAGAGAAGCAGCGGAGGGGAAGGTGGGCGAACAAAGAGGACCCGGCAAGCGGGATGAGAGCAGGGTGCCGGCAGCGCTGGCCCCGGTCCGACGGTCGACATAAAGGAGCCGGGCCTTACCTGCAGGTAGGGCTGGCCCCTCTCCACGCCCCCCACCACGATGTCGGCTGAGGCCATGCTGCCGCTGGCCGAGAGCCCGAAGCCCACGTAGCCGCGGGTGCGCACCTCCAGACGGAAGGCGAGGGCGCTGCCGCGGCGGCCCCAGTGGAGGCGGTAGGCGCCCGCGCCGTCCAGCACCGCGCTGTGCGGGTAGCTCCGCAGCGACGGCCCGGCTCCGGCACCGGCACCGGCACACAGCAGCCCGCACAGCACCAGCGCCCAGGGGCGCAGCAGCCGCATCCTTTCACAGCGCACCAGCGGCCTCTGCGTGTGTCCGGGCGGGCGTGTTCGGTGTGCGGGGTGTGTGTGTGCGTGTGTGTGTGTGTGAGCTCAGAGAAGGGGCCGGGTGCCCCGGTCACTCCGCCCCCGCTGCGGGCGGCACCGCGCCGGCCCCGTCGGGGCAGCGCGCCCTCGGCAGCTGCTTTGTTCGCTCCCCGCCCCGGCCCGGCGCTGCGGCCGCCCCCGGCTACCCCGCGTCCCCGTCGGGGACGAGCCGGACCCCGCCGAGCCCGGAGCACCTGCCGTGCGCTCGCCACGGGGGCTTCCCGGGGAGATGCTCGGAGTCGGCGTTAGCGAGGGAAAATCCTTCTCCTGACCGGGGAAACAGAGAACAGAGTGAAGGCAGCGGACGGGAGACTCCCGCCGGTCCCCCGGCAGCTCTAACTCCTGTAGAAGAATTCTGAGGGAGGAAGCCCAGAGGAAGACGGGCGCTTCCCCTCTCTCGGCCGCTTCTTCACTCAGTGCGAGCGCAGAGTGCGGCAGACGGATGGAGCGACGCAGGAGATCCCCCGTCGGGAGAGTTCTTTTTGCTTCGTGAGTGGAAAAAGAGGGCACACCGAGCGATTTGCACTGAGACGGCTACAGAAGCACAGCCCAAAACCTCAGTCGTGTCCCTTGACACCCCCGCAGCCGTCCCCGGTGCCACCAACACCCTGCCGGCCCGGCCACGCGGTCCCCGACACTCTCGTGGAAGACGCTGCCCCTCCTTCCCTCGGCACACCACCACTGCCGTTGCCGGGGGAGAGCAGCGAACGGAAAGATGGGTTTGGAGGAATGTTCCCAGCCCTCTGGAAATCTGGATGGAAACAAAAAATATCGTAGCATCCAAAAGAGGGAAGTTAGAGTCCACAAGAAGTCGTATTGGCCCTTGAAAGCTCCAAGCAATACGAAATCAATTTCGAAAAAAAAAAAATTACAGTGTTGGAATTGTGTTTTCTTCACATTTAAATGAAAAGAAAGAGTCTGGTACTCAGCAAAAATTAAACATTAATTCTGTAAAAGCCAATTAAACTAGTACATAAGGCGAATTAGTAATGCTTCTTTTTTTGGCTTTTGCATGAAAATATTTCACAAAATCACTCTAGCTTCCAGAATATCACCACCTACTGTCATGTGAGGGATACATCAAATGACAAAACATCTTCTAGAAAAGCAAGCGGCTACAGAAGGATAAGCACAGAATCTTACTTTTACCTAAAGCATCATAAGAAGTATGAGAAAACAATAATTAGACACTGGTGAAATGAAAACAATCTTTAAAGAAAATATATTATTTTGACCTGTCTTCCAATTATAGCAAGAACTTCAAATGTACAACCTCAGATGAATGACAAAACAGAAAATTGTGAGATTTTCATAGAATCATAGAATCAAGCAGGTTGGAAAAGACCTCTGAGATCATCAAGTCCAACCTTGATTCAACACTGCCATGGTCACTAGACCATGGCACTAAGTGCCACATCCAGTCTCATTTTAAAAACCTCCAGAGATGGTGAATCTCCCTAATCAGTCCATTCCAGTGTCTGATTACTCTCTCTGTAAAAAATTTCTTCCCAATATCCAACCTAAACTTCACCTGGCAGAGCTTAAGATAGGTGGGCACTGTAGAAGCTGTCATAGGTAAAAGCTACACACTTCCCCATATAGGAAAGCCTGCCCTCTGCCCCCTGCACCTCTGCCCAACTCCCTGCTCCCCTTACTGCAAACAGGCTCAGAAAGAAAACTCCAATGAACTCACACTTGTGGTTGGCTGGGATCGTTCCAGTCATTCAACCAAAAGGCAAAGCAGTAGGATCGTCTAATGACTTGGATAAACTGCAGTATCTCAGAGAAGATGAGCCAGGAGTTTGTTATACTGGGCCTGGTAAAAGAGGTAATACGTCAAACAGCCATGCTATTTCTAGTGAGCTGCAGTGGCTTTGGAGTGTGAACAGTTCCCGCACAGTCCAGCATGCAAGTGTCCTGTGCCAGCTCAGCCTGTGGCCAGGGCCACGCTATTCTGCAGCTCTGGAACTAACCCCAGATTGCACTTGAGCTTTACTTTTCCTTTGCTGAGAAAAGTGGCACTTTGGAGGCTGAGAGTTGGAATGGAAACAATACCTGAGTTCTTGTAATCTCCTATGGGATTGAATGATCTGGTGTCTGCATGGCTCAGGAGTCTGCTGCTTATCAGCAGCTCTGAAGCCTGTATGTCCCAAACCATTGTGACTTTTTACCAAAACCTGGAGGTGCTGGTAACCTGTCTTCCAGCAATATACTACACTCAGCAGTACTGCTCACCCCATTGTGCTGGCAATGTTTAGACTAGTAGAAGTGCAGAAATAGCAGTCCTACTGCTTTCCAACTTTTAGCAGATATTTTTCTGTTAAAATAAACTATCCAAAGAGTTTCACAGAGTTGCACACTTGATCTACAAATACTGTGACAAAAACAACCTTTTTCAACTTGCTGCTATTTATAATTCCAAGAACAATACTCATGTAAAAAAAGTTTTGTAGTAGAGTTAGAAGAGGCTCACTGTGGGCAGGGCAGTACAATATGCAAAACTCATATTAAGAGACTTTGGCGACTTCACCAGAATTTTTTTGCATCATAAGTAGACCAAACATATGAAGAAAACACAGTCTAAATCTGATCCTTGACCTAGAAGTAATGCTACTGGCAGGAGCACAGGGCAACAGCAGATTACCACCTTCTCTGAGCTGAACTCAATTTCACCACTTCTCAAGGAATGCAGTCATTGAATCAAGCACAGAGACATTCAGCAAGTGAGGGGTTTTTTTTTTAAATCTTGTAATACCATTTCTGAATATCAGCTTGCCCATTGTTCCCTCACACCATTGCACGTCAATTAACTATGAAGATTTAATCTGATCATGGGTTGTGACCTATCACCTATTTTGCCTGTGCTGGTGTGTTCTGGCATTGAAGTGTTCTTTCTAAAAAGCAACCCAGCAAGAGCTGTGTGCTCTCTCTGTTTTCTGGCAGCAGCATTTCTCAGAAATATAAAAAGGTTTGGTTTCAGCCTGTTTCTAATATATCCTGTGCTCTGTTGCATGCTTTGTGTTAGTTGTCTGCTAGCTCTTATCCATTTTAGCATACATGCAGGAAATTCATGAATGTTGAACATTGATTATACATTACCAATTAACATGAAGTCTTTTATAAACTTTTTATAAAGTAGCTAGCCAATAGTGACACCATCTTGCTAACAGGGCAACAAAAATTCTGTTCTTGCCTATGAAAATGAAAATAAATACCTTTTATTTACCCTTTTAATTTAATGATTTCTATCTTCCATTGGAATGACCTAGATAAATCCAGATTTTGACGTCAATGCAATGCAAAACTGTTAGAGAAGCAGCTTGCAGATCCAGCTGGAAGCTTTCTACAGTGGAATAATATCTATGCAGAATAAAAACAGCTTCACTGACAATCCTGGTTTTGTTCAATGTAGATGGGGGACTGAGAGAGGGACAGCTTATGGGTTGAACTTGATGTTTTCTCTGAAATCAGGTGACCTGCCTGGTGGATGAGGGGAAGGCTGTGGATGTGGTTTATCTGGACTTCAGCAAAGCCTTTGACACCGTCTCCCACAGCACACTCCTGAAAAAGCTGGCAGCCCACAGCTTGGACAGGGGCACTCTGTGCTGGGTTAAGAGCTGGCTGGAGGGCTGGGCCCAGAGAGTGCTGGTGAATGGGGCTGCATCCAGCTGGGGGCCGGTCACCAGTGGTGTCCCCCAGGGAGCAGTGCTGGGCCCAGTCCTGTTTAACATCTTTATCGATGATTTAGATGAGGGGATTGAGTCCATCATTAGAAAATTTGCAGATGACACCAAGCTGGGGGGGAGTGTCAACCTGCTGGAAGGCAGGAGGGCTCTGCAGAGGGACCTGGATAGGCTGGAGAGTTGGGCTGATTCCAATGGGATGAGGTTCAACAAGGCCAAGTGCCGGGTCCTGCACTTTGTCCACAACAACCCCCTGCAGCCCTACAGGCTGGGGACAGAGTGACTGGAGAGCAGACAGGCAGAAAGGGACCTGGGAGTTTGGATTGACAGGAGGCTGAACATGAGCCAGCAGTGTGCCCAGGTGGCCAAGAAGGCCAATGGCATCCTGGCCTGCATCAAGAACAGTGTGACCAGCAGGAGCAGGGAAGTGATCCTTCCCCTGTACTCTGCGCTGGTGAGGCCACACCTTGAGTATTGTGTTCAGTTGTGGGCCCCTCAGTTCAGGAAGGATATTGAGGGGCTGGAGCAGGTCCAGAGAAGAGCAACCAGGCTGGGGAAGGGACTCGAACACAAGCCCTGTGAGGAGAGGCTGAGGGAGCTGGGGTTGTTTAGCCTGGAGAAGAGGAGGCTCAAAGGAGACCTTGTCACTCTCTACAACTCCCTGAGAGGAGGTTGTAGCCAGGTGGGGTTGATCTCTTTTCTCAAGCAGCTATCAGTAAGACAAGAGGGCATGGTGTCAAGCTCTGCCATGGGAGGTTTGGGTTAGATGTTAGGAAGAAATTCTTTACAGAGGGGATAATCAGGCATTGGAATGGGCTGCCCAGGGAGGT